AGGTCCCTTCCAACCCAAACCATTCTATGGTTCTATGATTATTTGTGGCTCTACTCCCCCACTACACAAGTGCTCCATCACACTTGTACCTCTGATCTCAGTTAAAAAATATGATGTCACTGGAAAGAGAGGCACTTTGTATTTGCAAGTAAGGAAAAACAAGGGGATTCCTTCCCTTACTGAGCGTCCTGTAGCCCTGTCAAGGAACTGGACGTGACACAAAACGTGAATGAGTCTTGGAGCTTGCCTGAATGTAAAAGGCTGTCAAAGCAAGCTGGTGATTTGCAAGCTGCAGCCGTTGTCCTGCACTGAGCACTCTCATGGTCCAGCAGTCGTATCTGCTGCAGCTCCAGGAATTTTGGCCTATGGGGATCTGAAAAGGCTTGAAAAGGCTGCAGAAACATCACACAAAATCAGTGCACAGCAGCTCTTCTGCATAACCTGTCCTCTGCTTGCTGTTCTGTATGTTCTGCACGAGCTACTCTGCACAACCACATGCCCAACCAGCAGTCCCTCCTTTCTATACATCTATACATCTCTTGTGACTGCCTATGCACCAGCTGGTCTGTGCAAAGCTCTTCCGCACAGCTTCTTCCACAGTGGCTTTTTCACACTTCTGCATTTCACCCTCCGCAGCAGCTGCTCTGTTTGCTCTTCTCCACTGGTTTTTGCACCAGCTACTCTGTACCACCATATATCCCAGACAGCAGCCTCAAACTCTTTTAATTTTGTTTTGACTGCTCGTTTCTTGCTTGAGGCTTTGTTGGTTTAGTGAAATCCAGAAGAAAGAGGAATTTTTTTTTCTTCCCAAGCGCTGAAGTCTGGAGTGCTGTGCTGAGCATTTCAAGACCACAGCATAACACTAGGGCAGTGGGTTGATGAAAAGTTTATTTAACTGCAAGACACTGCAGGATATAGAAGGTGATGCTGCCTCTGTTTAGGCACCACTGGCCAGGAACTGGTGTTCAAAGATGTGTGAGGTTGAGAGATTATCCCAGAGAGGACATGTATGGACAGTATGGGTATGCTTTTTGTACCCACATGTAGGACTAAAGCCTGAGGATTGCTTTGAAGTAGGATGAAGACCTAAGAAGGGAAAGGAAAGTGGGTGTAGCATGTTTATTTTATTCCCTGTATTTACTTGGGTTTCTGTAATCCTCATTTAACTGGACATGCCTGGAGAAAACATCCAGGTCTGTGTTTGTTACCATCCCTCTTCCCACAGCAGAAGATTATTTTTGCAACTTTGGAGTTGTGCAAATAGTAGATTTGGTCTTTTATTCAGACCTTCCCAATGCTTGGGTCGGCAGACACAGCCTGGTGGGGTTTTACTGTAGAAGAACTTTCCAGATCATGCCATGATGTGTAAACCCCAGCAGAAAGAAGAGCCACCAGCAGTTTAGACACAGTTGCTTAGAAGATCTTGCTGGCACGTCCAATTCTTTATCTTCTGGCGAACATGCAAGGCAATGTAATACAGCATTTTTCTACTAAAAATACTAACAGCATATTCACTAGGGAGCACAGAGCATGGATACAGGAGTGGAGCTTCAGGCTGCAACAGTCACAAACAAAAAAAAAGAGGAAAAAGAGATTTATTTTTTCTCTTTTGATTTTTATCCTCTGGGAAGAAAGGTCAG